TTCCCTGACCTTTTTGCTTCTTTCCTGCAGTGTAGTATTGGACTGAGCACATCTGCTCTAGAAAAAAGGACTATTTCAACAGCATTTGACCTACATCCCCATAAAGGGAGATGGGACTGGACAAATGTCTCTAAAGTCATGAACTGAGCACCAGGGAGCTGTATTTCAAGAGGCAATCTGCTCCCTATCTCATATCTTTAATTTCGACTACGAAACCCAACCTCCGAGAAAATAAAGAGAGGAACTTGGCATTAATTACTAACTTGTAACTTAATAAAACGTCCTCTGCAAAGGGCCCTGCGTGGCTGCAGCACTCTGCAGTGCACGATGGAATTGCAGCAGTCGCTTCCTTGCCCAGCTCTCCGCGGCTCCCTGGGGCTGCTTGGCTGACCACCGTCTGCTGTAAACCGGCTGCAAATTACATCTTCCTCTCTGCAGTCTGGGTGGTGGCTGATACGTCCGTTCCCGTTCCTGTGCACACACACTTCCTACCTGGCAATTCTGACCCAAGAATAAGAGCGTGACAGCATCTCCTGTGACCCGTGCTGAGGGTGCCACTCCCAGGGGATCAGCTGCTGTAACCTACATCACCATCTACGTTCCACTCAGTTTTCTATATGTTTAGCCAATCTTTAAGCAAGACATATCCTCTAGATACCTGCGTGCTGCAGTGAATGACATAAACATATATCTGAGTACAAGAGTATTCAACAGAGCGACGTGGATATACACTGCTACAGTGTCTAACATCTTCTGGGTGCTATATAAAGTGTTCCACTATACTAAGATGGCTGGTAATGATTTACCTGCTACAAAAGTAAATAATGTCATGTTTCTGTGTCCTACGCATGGGGATGTATCTTCGTCTACTTTATATCAAGAAAAGGAAATACATCCCCATACCCAGCCCCTATTACTGCACAAATTAGGCAATTATACAGTGGCAGACCGCTCAGTCCTTACACGCTTGAGGACTGAGGTTGGTACTGTCAGGGTTTAAGTGAAAAAGCACAGACTGCCCAATGTGGCCTGCAGGACGCACGTATGCGCTTTGTGGAAATCAAAGTATTAACCACACCACCTTTAAACCCCTATATCCTACCCAAACAGAGCCTGGCAGCAGTTACCAAAGATCAGAACCTCCTCCAAGTCACACTCCAGACCTCCATGCGGTCCTCTGCCATTTTTGGGTCAGACTCTGCCAGTAGGCAGAGACACAAGAGAGGTGTATAAACGGGGCAAGAGGGTCTTTACACTTTCAGTGTGTGAACGAAGCATTAGCTTTATCTTTCTGCTCTGAAGGGCTTGCTCTCAAACCCACTGACAATATTAAACGAATACATGAAGTGCTGAAACTCAGGAATTTGCCCCAATCTGTGCAATGTGTCACACAACGAATACCCAGTCCAGACGGTGTTTGAGATAACTGTATTAAACTACACACCTGGCCTACTAACTCAGGTAGATAACCTGTTGAAAGAAAAACATTTCTCATCAAATAAGGCACATGGTATGTTAAATACAATACCTAACGTAGTACATCATGTCAATATTAAATCAAATTTGTTGCGCGTTGAACAGCTCTTCTGAGAAGTAGATTGAATTATCATGCACAACTAGTGGTGACGAGATTACTGTGCATGAGCTTTCATTAACTAACGTGCCAAGTTCTTATACCACCTGAGTTAAAATTAACGTATGGAATGATGAAGGAGATCTATCAACAAAAAGCAAGACCCCAAGAATCTGCAGCTTCACAATGCATTCCCTTTGATTTCCCAGAGACTGCAAGCTTCTGGATGTTATTTTGTCAAACGAGAGATTTCTGTTTCAACCAGAGGTGGACAAGACACATGAAAGAGACGCTGGAAAGCTCCCCTTATGGAAAATATTCCCATTAGAATAATTAAGCTTTCTACAGGTTAGGCAAAATAACGCGTTATAGAATCTGGGGATGGAAGCAAAGGGAGATAATTTCTACCTATATATTCAGTTTTGCTTATCAGTTTTAAAATTAATTGCATCTGCTTGTAAAAGACTGCAAAAAGATTTTGTTAGGTTCACTAAATCTCCTTCTATCTGTACTTGTTAAGTAAAAAAAGAAGCAAAACAAGAAAGATAGCTGCCCTGTGTATGTATAAGCAGATAAGCACACAGTCGTAAATAAATGTTCCCTCCAAATCACTCTGGAATCTGAGAATCAGCTCAATTCTTTCTAGCTGAGACGGTCCCAAAGCACACCAAGGACTGCTAATTCACATCACGTTGTCTGCAATCTCTGCTCTCCCATCTATGCAACTTCATTTCTCCATAAAGACTGAGCTTTCACGGTTTTAAGGCATATAAAAAATATCTCAGCACAGTTGCTCTCCCAAAGTCTTTGTTACAATTGCTTTATAATTACCATTTTTTTAAGCTGGTTTGATATCCATTAGTTAGATTTAATGCATGTTAAAAGAAAGAGCTAATGGGCACTTATCAGGAATCCAGATTAAAAAAAAAAGGATAAAAAAAACCCTTTCACTTTGCCCTTTGTACCACATACCATTATAAATATACACAATCCTCTTTGTCTACTCATGTGGT